TCTTTTGTTTTTGTTTTTGCCTGCCTGGGGGGGGGTCTGCCTGTTTGGTCCCCCCATCGCTGTTCTTGGGGTTTGTGTATATTTGTCTACTGTGGTGGTACTCCATGCTTGGCCCCCGTGAGTGTACACGTCCCGGGGGTTCAGCTTTAGCAGTTTGTTTGGTAGTTTTGGGTGCCGGTTCGCAGTACCCTGCCTGGGCTTCCCTTAGCGTGTTAATAAGGCTAAGAGCCCTGGAAAACCCCACGGGGGCTACGTGGTCCGATGGATGTGACCCCTGAGTCCCCCCTTGCTACTTGCGAGTTTGAAGGTTGCTCTGTCCCCTTGTCTCAGGGTAACACTCACCGGTTTTGCCTCCGCCATGCTGCCTGTTGGGTCGGTGATTCTTTTGACCCAGAGTTGTGCGACGTTTGTTGTCTGTACGTGCTTCAGTTGTTCCAAGCTCCTGAACATATGAGGGTGCAGGCAGCTGCTGCGTTGCATGCTAGATTTAGGTTGCTGCAACGCGCCAGGTTGGTTGCTGTCCCGAATGCCCCGAGACTACCACGTTTTGTTATAGGGACCCGGACTTGGGGGGTGGGAGTCGCTTTGGCTCTGGTTCCGTCCGCCCCTCCTAATCCTTCCCCTTCTGTTGTGCATCCGGTTTTCCCCGCTTGCTTCCAATTCTGAAGTGTCTGAGGGTTTCGGAGTCGGTGCAGGGTCTAGTTGGTGTTGAGACTCTGGTGGTCTCGGGGGAGTCCCCTTCTGGGATTGCGGCAGAGGCATTCGAGCCTGGTCCTCCATCCGGAGCGTCTGGGTCTGACCAGTGGGCCCCCTTCGTTCCTGCTTTTTCAGCTGCTCCCACCTTTTCTTTGGGGGTGGGGGCTCAGGAGGACGGCTCGGCCCCGGGTCCTCAGGGTGAGGTTCTCCTGGGGTTGGGAAGGGGTTGACTTGGGAGCCTTGGGCCTCGTTGGTCCCCGCCTGGGTTTTTCTACCCTCAGAACAGGGCTTGGTGTTACAAGGAGAGGAGTTCTCTTTCGCTCCCTCCTTGTATGAGTTGGATTTGGTGTTTACCCCTCCCAAGGTTTGGTTCTGTGATCCCGAGGGTTCTTCGGTTCCGTCTTTCCAGAGGTTTCCGGCTTCCCGAGTCCGGCTTCTGAGGTGCGGGAAGCCTTGGCGGCTTACCTCCTGCGCAACCCGGATTATGCCTTCCTGATGGATCCTCGTTCCTTCGTGTACGGATCGTTCTGGGTTTCGTTATGAAGTTCCGGAGTCATCCTGGTTGGCAGACTGTCCTCTCTTTTTTTGTTGGAGGCTTGGCACACGTTCTGTCGGTCCCGCGCACGCTTGAGTGGCGAGAAGCTTCAGACTTGGCATTGCAGGTTTTCCTGGGGGGCGCTTTCGAGCATCTCAATGCTTGTTTGTTCGCCCCTGCCCTTCTGCGGGATGTTGGTGTCATGCAGCTTCATGTGCAGGTTCCTTCCCTTTCGGCTGCCTTGGTTGCGGAGGATTTGCGGACTCGTGGCCTGCTTGCTTCGGCCCTGCGTTTCTTTTCCCTCCTCGAGCTGTCCTCGGATTGGCTTGAGTTGGATGTGGGGGCGCTTGGGGCCGCTGCTGGGTCTGGTGCGCTGCCCTCGGCTGTGCGGGCGTCGTCTGCTTTGTTGAAGCTCTTCGCGCCGCTCCTGCGTGATGCGGTTTCGCGGTTTTATGCTTCTCGCCTCGCGTGTCAGCAGGTGGTGCTTGCTTCTTCCTTGGAATCCGCCTGGGCCCTGGCTCTTAGGTTGTCTTCGCCTTTTTGTCCGTTGCTGTTTGCTGAGTCTGCAGTGGTGCAGTATCTGCAGGCGGCCTCGGTTAGTTGTCGGCCTATGTCGGAGTTGTTGGTGCTCCAGGGGGCTCGTGGGGGGCCTTCCCGGAAAGGTCGTGCCAGGGCTCGGGGTTTCTTTTTGTCGTGGTAGGCCAGTGGTGCCAGATTCGGGGCATGCGCAACCTTCGGTTCCGGCTGTTTCTGGTCGGTTGTGGGCATCAAGCTTACGCCGCCTTTCATTCGCGGGTTGAAACTTTCGCACCTCGCATGTTCACGGGCCTTACTTCTGGGTGCTACAGGTTCGACGACTGTGGCTGGCTTGGGCTCCCAGCTTCCTCCGCGTGTCTTCTCGCCAGGGATTTGGCCTCTTCCCAGCTCTGTCGGGTTCTCGTTCTTGGGTTCGCTTGGGCGTCCCCTCTGGTTCCCTCTCAGGTTCGGTCTTGGCTGGGTTTTTCCCCTGCAGTCCCACCTTTGTCTGTTTCTGAGGGGTTCCCGGGTCCGGCAGCTGCTCTGCTTGAACTTTGCCGTGATGGTCTACTGCCGGGTCGGGTGTGGCCACCGCTGGTTCCTTCAGGGACGTACGTCCCTTCCGTCTCTCTCGCGACCGTTTGGTTCTGCCAACAAGAGCTTTGCCGGTCTGCATCGCTCGCTTCCTTTCGGGGTTCGGGGTTCAGTGCAGTGCGAGTTCGCGGCAGTGTGGATGTCGCTCTGGAGGGTTCGAGTCGCTCGCGGATCGACGATCCGGCTCAATTCGGACTGCTCCCCGGTGGTTCATTGCCTGAACCGAGGGGGTTTGATGCGATCCTTGGCTCTTTGGGGCTGGTCGCTTCGGGTGACTCGTCTGCTGAATTCTCGGAGTTTGGCTCTCCTGGCTGTTCATGTCCGGGGGGTGTCCACCGTCCTGGCGGACAGCCTGTCTCGCTTCCCTTCCCCTTTCCACGGAATGGACGGTCAACGCCAACTCCTTCAGTTGGCTGTGCCAGACGTTCGGAACTCCGGACGTGGATCTCTTCGCGTCGACATGGTCAAGGCGTCTCCCGGTATACGTGGTGCCCTTCCCCAACAGCGAGGCCGTCGGGGTTGACGCCTTCCAGCAGGACTGGGCGAGGTGGAGTTACTTGTACCTCTTTCCCCTGGTTCAGCTGTTGCTCCAGGTCCTGGCTTGCTTGGAGACTTAGCAGGGTCGAGTTGTCCTGGCTCCTTGGTGGCTGGCCCAGCCTTAATTTCAGGCGCTGCTTGCTCGGTGTCCGAACCCAACGGTCTTCCCGCGGCTCCACCTCTTTCAGTGGATCGATCCAGCCTGGTATGAGGCTGGTTCGGTCTTCTCCTCGAGTCTTCGTGTCTGGAGTTTTTAACTCTGGTTTATCATCACTTGTATGGTGTGCAGGTGGCTTCGTTGTTGGTCTCCCGCCTGTGTGCTTTGTCTCCGGCAGTATGAAGTTTCCTGGCGGTCCTTCCGGTTCTTCCTATCACTGCGTAGGTGTTCTTCAGTCTCTGATAGGGTTGTTCTGTCCTTTCTCTCTTGGTTGTTCCAGGACCGTCATCTTATGCCCAATACTGTCGCCTCGTATCATGCGGCGCTGGCGGAGCCGCTTCAGCTTGCTTTCGGTGTTGATGTTACTTCTGCCCCGTTCCGCAAGCTGTCTTGGGCGTTGTTTCACCTCCGGCCTGCTCATGCACCTCCTGAGCCGTCCTGGTCCTTGGACTGGGTGCTCTCACTTCACTCTTCTCCTCGGTTTGTTGTGGACCCTTCCGTTCGGGATTGTTTTTCTAAAGCTCATTTCCTGATGGCTTTGGCTTCTGGGGGTCAGGTAGGGGATATTCCTGCTCTCCTCCGGCGCAGGGGTTTCTGCTCCTTTGGTCCTGGTGGTCATTTTGTTCAGTTGCAGCCGTCTCCTTTTCTAACTATGAATGAAACAGCTGCGTTTCGGACGGGGCCTTGGGTTGTTGATGCTTGGTTGGTCAGGCCGGGGGTGCATCTTGTGTTGCGTCTGGTTGCAGCCCTCCGTTGTTATTTGTGCGCCACGGCTTCGGCAACCGGGGATGTGCTTTGGGTTGACCCGGTTTCCCTTCTTCCCTGTTCCCGGGCTCGGGTCTCTCAGGTTGCTCGCAAGGTTAAGTCTAGCCAGCCTGCGGTTCATTCCCGTGCCCACGACGTTCGTAAGTTTGCGGCTTTGGCTGCCGTCTTTGGCAACATGTCTTGGGTTGACATTCGGGTGCAGGGTTTTTGGAGGTTGAACAAGGTCCTGGTTGCTCTCTACCTGGTGAATGTTCCAGGACCAGGTAGGGCCTGCGTTACCTTGGGTCGGCAGTTGCAGCCAGTTGTCTCGACTTCACGTTAAAGAGTGAGGATGAACCGCCTCCTGGACGAGACCCTGTTTTTCCTTATCTTTGGGTAGTTAGCTCCGGGAAGCTGCAGGGGCTCCCCCCAGAAAACCAGCGTTGAATATAATGAAATGCCATTTTCTGGGCGAGTCCCGGAGGCTCCCCGGCATTTCTCCCTCCCTCCGGTCGGCGGTGTTTTTCATGCTTTTTGACATCCAGCCTAAGAATTGAAGGTTGGGTCGCCGGCGGATGAGTCTGGGGTTCCCCCCTTCCCCTCCCGGGGATGGGGGGGGGGTTGAGCAGACAGCGGCGCGGCGACATGATGACGTCATGCTAGTTTGCTAATTTTCGTTTGTTCGGCTTTTGGTCACAATACTTTTACCAGAATAGGGATCTGTTTTGGGGCGCCTACCTTCCTGGGTGCCTGTCCCGGTTGATGGCAGACATAGATTGCTCCCAACCTCAGGGAGGGGGTCTCTATAGACCATTGCTCCTCTTGCCTCTCTAGAGGGGGCCAGGTTCTGGCACGTGGTCCCCGGTAGGCAAGAACTCCATGCATTAACTGATGCCAGAAAGATATACATATCCATTCAGCCTGGATAGCTCCGGGGAGCGTCCGGGACTCACCCAGAAAATGGCGTTTCATTACATTCAACGCTGGGTTTTTTACATCACATTTAGGGTGGATTGCAAACTTTTTTTATTCTTATTACCAACAGCAGTTTATACCAGAAAGGACATGCTTTCTGGTATAAACATGAAGTTGAAACATAGTAACTGAAGACAAAAGGGAGTCACCATAATATTAACTCAATATAAGTAATATTTAATTCTACAAATCACTTGATTGTACGTCTAACTAGCCACTGTTACTGGCTCTATACTCGTTTGACAGGAGGGCACAGCAACGAGTATTGGTGAGCAGCCCATTAAGATGCTAGTGAACTCTGCGGCTGGTGCGAGAATGACGTTTCTGGAGGCCTTGACCAACCTGGTGGCTGCTCCCATCTCTAGCCTTAAG